TACCCAAAATTTTCATCATCCCTATTATTCCTCTTACAATTAATGAATTCCACAAAATTCTTAAGGTGGTAATGACCTTTGCCATTTTTTCTTACTTAACCCCATATTTTCCGGAATGATTTTTCCTTTTTTCTTACATCATGCCCCGTTAGCGTTACTGTTGAGGGGAATGAGACAAAAATAGTTACTTTGGAGCATGTAAAATGTCTGAATTAGTCATTGAATTCAACGAGATGCAAGAAGAATTCAAGCCCGCATTCAGCACCCCCAGGCCCCAGCGAAGAAAGCGGTAAATAAATAAGTAGAATGAAAGTCAGGTCACTTCAAGATTTATTTCTTTTTTTCAACTTTTTCATTCACAAGTGGGATCTGAGGACCTGGACTCGACAACCCAGCGTTTAAGACGCGTATTGTATGGTGTTCTCTCAATTTTGTACCAATCATGTGGTTATGTACCCATGTTAAGTTTCTCTCATGTTGGACCAATCATGTGGCTATGTACCCATGTTAAGTTGGCATGGTGTCTGGTTGTAGCTACAGTAAAAAATTGTTGAGATTATTTTAAAAAATTTTTAAAATAGTATTTAAAATAGTAATTAATAAATATTGATTATTTTATTAATTATTAACTAATATAGTTAAATTGTTAATTATTTTTATCAAACAATTAGAAATAATTTTTTTATAATTTTTAGTGACCTAACATTTTAATTGATGATCATAATATTACCCAACTGCTTAGAAAAGAATTTTGTTTTTTCTAGGAGCCAAAAAAATTTATGATCCTTAACGAGAAAAAATTTATGTAAGTATTTTTGACTAAAAAAATGTATAATCTAAACTTTTATAACTAATGATGAGAATTACTTCTCATTTTTTTTTTAAAATAACTGTCATAAAATCTAATTGAACCATTACCTGAAAAAAAAAAAGTGAACTTTTAGAGTAACGAAAACCCTTGACCCTATGAGCCAGGTTCCAAGTTAGTTCTCAATTTAAGAAGTGATTCCCTCTATCAATATATATAAAACGTACAGTAAAAGAAGAGCCAATTGACAAGACTGTTATCTTCCGAGAAAAGCCCTGACTTGCTTTGTTTGATAAAGATGGGAAAGGTTGCATCTTGATGATGAAGGTTAGCAAAAATCTTATTGATTTTTAATCTTATCCCTGGTAGTGGCAAACAGAGTGAGATTATGCTAAATGGGGTGGAGGAGAATCTGGGACCTTGTGGATGCTTCAACTTGATTATTAGATACAGCAACAGGTAAGCCACTCACATTCTTGGATTAAACAAAGAAGCATTGGCATTGTGAAAGTAAGTACTAAAATAACGACATACAGATGGAAACAATAAAAGAAATGTAAAGCTCAATCCAAGTTTCTGTAGTAAAAGAAAAATATTGATGATGATGACTAGACAAACAAATCATGAGAAGCTTTGGCAAACTATAGTTTTGAAAAAGAGATTTAATACTTGGTATTGAAACAGTTTTGGGAAAAACGAGCATCACTAATGTTGGAGATTTGGTAAGATAGAAGTCTACCATCAGTCTTCAGACTTGAATAATTATGCTGGTTGTTGGCAATGTAAGGTTCTGGTGGAGTGTTGTAGCTTCCTCCGGAGAACCTAAGAGCTCCTCCATTCGTCCTCAGACCCAGTGTGTTGATATTCTCTCGTGAAAGAAGTTCCATATTCACTTGGTTTGGAATGCTAAAACCAATATCGAGACCCTGATGAAGTGGAACTGGGAATCCTGCTCCAATGCTGGAAGTTGGCATGGTGTTCGGATTAAAACAACCAATATTTCCAGATCCCATTTGAGCAAAGCTTTGAATCCTTTCTTGTGGCTGTTTGCCTGGAAAGTATCCAGAACTACCACTCGGATCAAGCAATTGATTCAGTTTTTCTAAATTTGCACTTGTTTTCTTCTCAGCAACTCTTGGTAGGTTATAGTTGCAAGATGAAGCATCAAGTCTGTAGTTTGCAAGGCAGGATTCAGTAAAGACATTAGGCAATTGTAAATACATTGAAGAAGGCACCTGGCCAAATGACAGGAAGTTTGGCTCCACAGATGACCCCAACTTTTCTCTGCTAGTCTTTTCACCTGATGTGGCAGCTCTAGTGGCTTGGCCATGACCAACTCGATTCTCAGGTCCTTGATAGTGATTGCTGCAATTAACCGTCTTCTTTCCTTTCCTCTCACGTGATCCACCATTGCTATTCTGAGCTTCTATGGCCAATACTATACTGTTCTGACTCTGCACTTGGACATTCTGATTAGTAGAGCCTGTGAGAAGATTTGACTTCACAGATGATAACAACTTTTTTCCTTTGTCCTTCTCTAGTGATGCAATTGGCTCAAATGGCCCCCGATCTTCTAGTGCTCTATAGAAATTAATGGAATCAGTGGCATTACTGATTTTGGTAAACCTCTCTAAAGATCTACCGTTGCAAGTTTGAGGCTGGATGCTAACCTTTTCATCCTTCTGGGGCAGTAGTGGGATGTCATTCTGAAAGTTGTTCTCTTTTGGCACATAGAGAGGCTCCTCAAAGTTTTCCTGGGGCTGCGATAGGATACCCTCCTCAAAGTTGTTTTGATTCTGCAATTGCATGCCCTTTTTAGTTTTTTGGCTTTGCCCTTTAGTGTTCCTTTCAGATCTCTTCCTTTTCTGTAACTGCACTTTCTCCCCTTTACAATTGTACCTTCTCCTTTTTGGCTGTGGAGCAGCATCATCATCTTCAGCCAATTTCTGCATTTCTTCCCTCATCCATTTGGATAAATTTTCTCTGGCAACTTTGAGATCCTCTATTAATGATCCCATGAAGCTCTTAACATCTTCCAATGCAGTAAAATCATAAGCACTTTTTCCAGGCTTTGTTCTATCAACTTCTTCACGAGAATCACTCTTCATTCCACTGGCCCTTAAATTACCGCTTCTTTTCCTGGTTTGCCTTTTCTTAGGTTTCACAGATTTGATTTCAACTCCCATTCCAGGATTTTCATTGTCCTGCTGCTGAAGTCTACTAGTTTCACTGGTTTCTTCATAATCCAAAGGAAACAAGCTTGATACCAGCTTATGCTTCTTGAGAACTGGCTCACTACTTGGCTTCGATTCATTGCTTGAAGAATCAAAGTCATTGTCAGCCCTCCTAAACTCCCATCGCTGCTGAAACTGCAGTTCTTCTCCCATTGCAGTGGAGGGAGACATCACTAAAATCAGAATTTTGTAGAGTCAGAACCTAAGATGACCTTGAATCCAACAACCTATCATGCATACGTTTCATCCAACTAAAGAATGTAAACATCGATAACTAGTCCCCTACTGCTCACGATTTATCAATGTATGAAAACTGCTAACAGAATAGGACCGATACCAATGCTCATCTAAAAGATCAAATCACTGTTTTCAGCACAAACTCTCTCCAAGGTGAAAATAAGTTGAATGAATATTGAAGGATTCCCAAATTATAATTCTGACAAAAAAGAATCATTAAAAAAGAGAACAACTATTATGGAACTAGTAACAAACCCAGATGAAAAATCAGGACATAATTGATTTCCTTGAAAATCTAAATACCCACTTTCATAATTGAAATACCTAATTTCTTCTTGAACCCCCTACAACCACAAGCAATCAAGACAGTTTGAAACCATGAAGCTCCAAACCTTTTCAAAGATCAAAAAGACTTGCATAATGAACTCCTAACCCACAAACTACCCAAGGTACAGGATGTGAAGTTCTGAACAATCAATCAGTGTTGAAATTGGATAAAACTGATAAAGGCGTTAGCTTTATATGGAGTCATCCACATAACCCAGAAAAGTAATCAGAGAAACTACAGATAAAGGCATAAATAAAGAATCAAAAGAAACAGCATGTTACAACAATCCAGAAACAAGTAAAAGCTTTTGACTTTCGACGATGTTACTCAAGAACCGAGAGAGACAATCAAAGGGAATCAGAACCAATATCACAAACACCACCTGAAAATTTTCCTTCTAAAGTTCCCATTCGAAAGATGATATTTTTCCTTACCATATACCAGTAGATGTTACAAAGCTCAACCCAAAATGATTCCTCTATCCATCATTCTCAATTCCAGGTCTTCCTCCCTCTCCACTTATGAGTGCACATTCTCTATCTAAAAGGAAAGAGATAATACGTTTTTGACTGTAATTTGGTGCTGTTTCCATATGTGCAGAGAGAGAATCAGTGAGGTGGGTGTAGGAGATTGGCACAGGGAGTTATGGAGGGTTTTCTTTACTAGACTCTTCCCAATAAAACTGGTCTAGTGGATAACTCTTGCACTTAATCCCTTGGTTTTACTGACTTTTTACTCCTTAAAGAATGCTTTTTTGGGCATTAAATGCCTTCTTTATCTCTCAAATTCAGAGTCCCACTTCCTACTTTCCACCAAACCCTTGCTCTGTTTCTTGATTTCTCTCTCTCACGCCCAAATAAAGACTTTAATTTTTCCTTACTGGGAGGATTTACCTCTCATCTCTGGCACTAGTGAACCAGATCACTTGCCTTTTTCAGGAAAATGACTCTATGTCAGTTCCAGCTGTAATGGATTTTTTTCCATCTTCCTACCCTGAATTTGCATTTTGCACCATAAATGCTAAACAAAGCAGTTATTTCCATCAAATAAAAGTAGTATTTGGTTTAATTATATTTTAGGAAGTGAATCCCACTGTTTTTTTATTCCAAACCTATTAGGAGTAGTAATTCATTAACCCTTTTCTATTATTGGTTTATAAATGAAAAAAAAAAATCAAATCAAATTAGTTTGGAGGGAAAATAACAGTATCATATTTCTTATTGATAAGCAAAATCCATCAGAATCATCCTGCAGGCAAGAGAAAACAGCATTTTTTGGGAATAAAAATCTACTAACAAGCAATTGGCTATTTGGCTTGTTTCCCTAATCACAAGGCTGGTGGTGAGTTCTGGTAAACAGAAATCTACTATGGTTGTTTTTTTTTTTTTTAGGTCAATAACAACAAAATCACATGATAACGTACCTTAACAGGATTATACAATTAATAGCAGTGTCAAAACACTTGCTAACTGTGTCACATTTAAGTGATTGGTAATAACGATAAAAGTCAAAGCATACAATGGTAGACACAATTTGATGCCTCACACTAAAACACATTCAGAATTAAACTCATCCTTCCTCAGTATATTGATCTTGATCCATCCTTACAGACATTGCTGTTGCCCATTTACATTTTTGAAATTGTGATGGCAGTCTTTATTATGATCTTCTCCATGCTGTGTTGAGACGTAATTAGAGTGAATGGTCAGAAAACTGAGTGTCATTCCCTGGTGGAAGGATGCGGCAATAATGCTGATTGTGCTAAGCTATCTGGGGCTTAGAGATACAATAATTGGTGCCTTATGCATTCCTCCACGCCTCTTCCCAACACACCAAGCAGTAAGCAATGCTGTTGTATCATTTATGGTTTTAGTGTTCCAAGAGCAGTGCTCGATAACTGGTGATGCTTGGTAGAGAAGGAACACCCTGTTCCCATCCTTCTTTTGCTTTTCTGTATGGTTTTTTCTGAGTTATCCACAATGTAATAATTCATCACAGATCCATGTGAGATTTTAGAGTGTGGGGAAGCAAATACAAATATCTCTCTTTTTTTTTTTTCTTTTCTTTTTATATCCTTCAAATCAGATATGGGAAATGATTTCTTTAGTAGAACCATAGGCAAGAATTCAAGTAAAAAAGAGTGAATGCATGCCACTAAATTTCACAGAGGGAGTTACATGGTTACTTACCCTCATCTATCTTGTTAAGGACACAGCCAATTGCTTTGAAACATATAATGTTGTCCACCAGACCAACAACTTCTAGCTTTTTGATGATGATTGTCAAGGGATCCAGGAATGATGTATGTACAAGCGCAGTATTTTCATCAGGAAGTAACTATTTCCCGCTTACATTAGTGTCAAAATAGCTATAAACTCTTGTAAGAATATTAATGACTCTCTGGCAACCTGCAGCAGAATAGGCAAGAGAGAGGCATGATTAAAGCATTACTTCTTTCATTAGTTGAAAATGTATTAAAAGGTTTTGAAGTGGTACAAATAAAAAGTGTTCCTCAAGGCAACTTGTCTTAACAAGAACCAATCATTAAATTTAAGTATGTCCTGATAATATCTAGTGAGAGACTGAAAGTGATTCTTACCTCCATGGGAATTCACTTGTGTCTATTCCCGCTTGGTGGAGTTCATCAACATATTGCAATGCTTCCCGACATTCCTCACGATCATCAAAGAACTCTTGCTTGTCACCTTCAATCTGATATGTTTCATGTCCTTTACCAGCAATCACCTGAAACACAAAGTTAGTATCAAAATAAGAAATAAAAATAACCACTGGTCAAGAACATAATAGGGTACAGGCAAAGAAAGGCATCAGCTATGTATATTAAGTAGTAAACTAACAAATTTCCAGATCAAGAAAACACCTATTAACAAGGAAGGGAAGGAAGAAGTGGTTCAGGAGGGAAAGAGAGTAAATTGGTTTCTAAATTCATTTAGGTTATTGTAAAATACTAACAGAAGATAATCAGTTAACCTTTCTAAGCAAACAGAGGCTTCAAAAACTTACAACCACATCTCCTTCTTCACCCATGGCAACAGCACAACGCACAGCTACACGTCTGATGTCATGCAGAAAAAGTCTATGGCCATTTGGTAGAGGTGGATAATAATCATTCTCTCCATATTTCAAATAATCTTGCATTGTCCATCCTATGCCAGCCAACATATCATCCAAGATGTCCACTGATAAAAGATGGAACTTATAAGCATTAGCATTTGATTTCAAAGCAGTTGATCCTGAATGTAATCATCTTTAGATTGCTTTCAAAACACAGTAACAGTAAAAATCATTGAACATACATGGATCTTCATTCCTTGGATTGTCAGATGTCAAAATTGTCACATCACTTTTGTCTGTTGCAATTTTCGACATTATTGGTCTTTTCCCTCTGTCACTCTCACCAGGGCATCCAACAACTTCACATAAAGCATAATAAATTGGTATGAGAAAAAACATATACTTCCACGGCTTAACCAAAAAAAAAAAAAAAAGGAAACTCATTAGCTGTTGTTTGTTCCAAATCAAATATGGAAAAACCCATTCGTATGAGCACAGGACTAATAAATATAGTATCAGAGGAAAAAAACTTAACAAGATTTAACTTATGTAGATTGTAGAAGACAATTATTTCTTGTAACCAATAGCAAGAAAACTGAGAATCTATCTACCAAATTCATTCTAATATTATCTACATGACAGCCAAGGTTGTAATAGCTTCTCCCTACCAATAGAAGTCCAAGAATTTAATAAAAGAGAGATAAAAAAAACTCCTCTATTAGGCAAAAAAACCGAAAGACAAACTGCATTATGGTTTTGAAGCAAGAGCTGGTAAACTATAATACAAAATGTTAGAATCATACCAGTGATAATCCTTTTTGCTCCAAGCTCCCGTACAGAATCAAGAAGTCTAGATAGGGCATCAGGAGTATGAGCATAGTCTACAATGACTCCAAATGCCTGCTCCTCGTCTATTAGCTCACACCTGCCTGGAACAGCATCAATCTCTTCAATCCCTCTGACAATGTCCTCCAGTGGTGCCCCAACAGCAATACCAACTGCCACAGCTGCAAGAATGTTGTAAATATTATGCCTTCCCAGCAACCCTGACGAAATCTCCAATATCCCATATGGTGTATTAACCAAAACTTGTGTCTCAAACAAGGAGAGCTCAAACTTCAATGGATGAACATCTGCACTCTTATTCTCCATTGCAAAGGTCACAACTGGTACTTCTGGGTTCCCTTGTCCAATGAAGAAAGAAGCATTTGGGTCATCAATGTTAACAACTTTTCTATGCCTTTCAGGATTCAGCATCCTTGCAAACAGCTTCGCCTTGTCATCCCTATACTCCTCCTCAGTTCCTTGAAAATCCAAATGATCCCCAGTCAAATTTGTAAAGACTGCAATATCAAAATCAACCTCACTGCATCTCCCTAAGGCCAGCCCATGAGAAGAAGCCTCCATGACAACTGCTTCAGTCCCATTATGCAACATCTTAGCCATCAAATTCTGAACCAAAACAGCATCAGGGGCTGTGTTTGGTGACTCCAGCATATTATCCCCATGTATATAATATGCAACTGAGCTCAGCATCCCAGTCCTTAATCCCATCGCTTCGTACATGCTTTTTATCAAATATGCACAGGTTGTCTTGCCATTAGTCCCTGTAATGCCAATGACAGCCATATTCTTTGATGGATACCTGTAAAAAGATGCAGCCAATGCAGGCAAAACAGAATTAGTATCGTCAACTATAACCAATGCCTTGCAGGCCAATGTCTCCTCTATGTCAAGCTCCTTACTCGCGACCACAGCAACAGCTCCTCTCTTATCAGCCTCACTCAAGTACAAATGCCCATCAGTCCTCCTACCAACACAGCAGACGAACAAATCTCCAGCACTCACCACCCTCGAGTCATGCTGTATCCCTGATATCTCAACCTCCAAATCCCCATAAACAGAAACAGGCACCACTTTACTCTCGTCCAAAAGCTCAGCTAGAGTCATTCCAAACTTGGGTTCTACAATTCTAACTTTGCTCTTGCCAAAACTATCCAAATCCAAATCAAAAGACGAATCCAACCCGTCAAAATTTTGCCTTTTTCCTTCACTGTCAGTCATATCAACATCGAATTTGGAAGAAGAATCTTCCTCTTGTTCAGAATCGGAAACAACAGTCAAGCCTTGTAGCTCGTTAATCTCTTCCAGATCAACCACCTCATCTGCTTCCAACTCATCAATCCCTTCCAAAACCTTTTCTTCCTCAACCTTTCCTTTTCTGGAATTCTGCGGCAACAAACCTTGCTTAACCAATTCCTCCCGCTTCATTGCAATGGCCTTATCAATCTCCCCAAACAAATCATCCTCTTCATCATTCCGGGACTGCTCCTTCCCCAATTCATCTTCCTCAACATCAGCAATGGCAGAGAGGTAAACAGACTTGTTCTTCTCGAAGTCTTCTTCTTGGCGCTTGCGGTGTCTGGCAGCCTGGCGTTGAATTTGCTGAAACGTGTTGAATCCGTGCATGGAATCCTCAGGAGCTTCAGGCGGGTCGTCGTCAGCGGAGTTGGGGTAAAACTTCCCATCAGGACCAATGGCGGGCCGGGAACGGAGAGAAGAGAGACGGAGGGGGTTCAAACGGAGACTTCTGAGTTGGGGTTTTAGAGGGAGGAAATGAGGATAAGGAGAAGGAAAGGTTGGAAGAGAGAGTACAGCCGAAGCCATAACTTCATGTGAGAGTTTGCAGAAGGCAAGCAAATTTGAGGTTTTACCTTTTAATTTAGAATCAAGGGGATAGGGGTTTGGGGATTGGGCCAAACGGTGCGTATTAATGACGAACGTGATGAAACGGTGTCGTTTGAAATATGAACCCACTCAGAAAAAAATTGGGCTTTCATAATTAATACTTGTTACTTGGTCTCGAGCTTTACTTTTTCTCAGCCTGATGGAATGTTGGGTTTCAATGGGCTGCTATAGTTGTTTTTGAGATTGGGCCGGAATGCCGTCTTGGTTTCAGTTGCTAGTACAGGACTTTTTTTTTCTTGTAATCATACATGTGCAAGGGCATTGGAATTTGACTATTGTATTTTTTTATTTTTTACTAATTTCTGGTATCCGGTAATCATATTAAATTTTAATTAATTGGTAATCATATTAAATTTTAATTAATTCAAAATTAATTCACGTCGGATCTAATAAAAAGAAAACTATTTTAATATCAAATTTTTCATTCACAAGACTTGAACTCAACACTTTATTTAAGCTGAATCAAACACCCTTCATTATAACCAACAGGTCATTGGTAGAATATGACTATTTGTATGGTATTGAGGCAAATGAGTCCTAAAAGTTTTTCAATTTACCAAATAAATTCAAAATTCACGAACAACTTTTTTATTTTTAAAAAATGAATGGTTAGATAAGAAACAAAATTTATTTTATAGGTTAAATTTGTGATTTTTATACTTTTTTTTTTTTTATGAAACCTTTTAACTTCATTGCATAGCAAAGAATTTTAGCTGAGTTCCTTTAGCATATATTTTTTTATATATCAGTTACTTATTTGTTAGAATAGGAAAAATTTAGTTCTCTTTTGAAATCCTAAATTTGAGTATTATGAATTGAAAAACATATGCTAAAAGAATTTTTTCTTTTATGGAACCTAATCTAATTCAATTTTAAATTATTCAAAATCCAATAACTTACGGATGAAGTTTAGTACATTTTATTTATGTATTTAGTTTTTCGCTGTTAATTGGACTAGGACAAGACAAGGGAACAAATAGGGTTAGGCAAACCTTCCTGATGGAAGTGGATTGATGATATTGTTATGGTGGTGGGCCTTGTGTTTGCTATGTTGGACCCAAATCCCTAACAGCAACAGAATGGATGCCTCACCCACATTGTACCCAAAATGGCATTAATTTTTGTGCATACCCGATAGGACCCGTCAGTCATCCTGTCTTACACATGGGAGTGTGGGACACTTAATTCATTGGGTGTGGAGTTTCCCTTCTTTTTTGAAATTCAAATTCTTTTAAGATAAAACATCATTCTCACATTTTTCATTACTTTTAAGATGCAATATCTTTCTCACATTTTTCATTACTTTTTCTTTTACGGTGGA